TGACCATACCCTTTGTTACATTATGTTGTTATTTACGTGCATAGTGGTGAGCACAACAGTTCATCGTGCTCACTCCCACCTGCTCTTCATGGATGCATGTTAAGCAGGTGTCGGCTGACGAGACAAAAGACGAGTGGTGTTGGTCTTTGACTGACTTCATTTAATTTATTCCGCATGCTTGTAGACTTGGATTTATTTATGCTTATTCATGACTTTAGGATTTTGAGAACTATGGATTGGGAGATGTTCCTTTATGAATAATTTGGATGAACTTGGAATTTATAAAAATGTTGGATTTATGATGTATGATTTATGCAAGAATGATTTACGTGATGACGATTTAAGAATTTATGTTCAGTAGCGCCACCTAAATATGAAAAGAATTTTGAAAAATTTTAAATTGATTTTTTTTTAAAGTTCTCTGACTTTCGTCAAATAAAAGTGGGGCGTTACAACAGAAGTATGATTGGTAGTCTTTTATATCTCACTGCCAATAGACCTGACATTTGCTTTAGTGTTGGATTGTGTGCCAGGTATCAGGCTGCCCCCAATGAATCACATATGAAAGCTGTCAAGCACATCATAAAGTACATTGGAGGTACAACAGAGTATGGTCTATTCTACTCCACTGATACGAACTTACATCTTGGTCCACGAAATTTTAATGAATTTAAAAGAAATTGTATTGAGAAGTAATCTATATGGGACTTGTGATGAGGTTATTGTGATGTTGACTGGGCTGGAAATCTTGATGATCGAAAAAGCTCCTCTGGTGGGTGTTTTTGCATAGGATCAAACTTGGTATCTTGGTTCTGCAAGAAACAAAACTGCATCTCCCTTTCTACTGCTGAAGCCGAGAACATTGCCGCTGGAAGCTGCTGTTCTCAGTTGGTATGGATGAAACAGATTCTATATGAGTATGGTATGAACGTTCATTCGGCTCACCTTTTCTGTGACAACACTAGTGCTATAAACATTTCGAAAAATCTTGTCCAACATTCTCGTACCAAGCATATTGACATCGTTATCATTTTATTTGTAATTTGATAGAAGATGGGGTTATTGTGTTAGATCATGTACATACAGATGATCAGCTTGCTAATATTTTCACTAAAGCTCTTAATTCGAAACGATTTTTGTCCTTGAGAAAATCTTTAGGAATGTGTGCTATATGATTTATGTGCATTGTGTCAATTGCATTTATATATATATATATGTGTGTGTGTGTATGTGTGTGTGTGTGTGTGTGTGTGTGCATTGTGTCAATTGCACTATATGCTGGAACACGCCGACGAGGCGGTCCTACCCACGGATCGATATCGGATACCAAACATGTACATACATGATTTCTAATAAACCTAAGCATGCTCTTAAAGGACGAACAGAGATATACCTTTCTTCAAGGCTTCGATTCGATCTGAGCAATTTTCTAGTCTGTGTCCCGACCACGTTTGGACGTCGGATGGACGACGATCCTCCAAAC